GCAAAACTAAATCCGACAGCAGGCAGACTGACCACCACCAGCGATGTAAAAGTGATTAAAGGAACTTAAACAGTTAGCAGCTGTACTCTTGAAGAACCAAACCATGAAATGCAACTGAACTAGATATTCCAAGTAGAGAGAAAATGATTTCAAACAAAAATATAAAACATGCCACTTACATCTTCAATCTTCACCATATCGCACTCCACACAGCCCTCGTTCCACGGATCGGTTAAGGGAGCCAGCGGCATCACCAAATCAAAATAACTTCGAGCTTTAAGCTTTTTTGGTCTGAAAAATTAGTTTTACAATAACTGATTTGTGCGGTACGATGCACAGCGCAACTGAAATAATCATGAAAAAGGCCAAAACTCGGATATTTGGGAAGAAAATTGCATACGAAAAATTTCCCAATCCAGGTTAGAAGTCGGACAGCAAGTACGTGAAATATTTACTTCTAGCTGATTAAAACCTAAATTAAGATATATTCGTTATGTTCAGCATTTTCCCAGGTAATACCAAATAGCATTTCTGCCACCAAAACTGACACCAGAACCCGCATTTTTGATTTTGTAAAAATGAGCTTTATTCAAGTTATGTAACCCACAAGTTGGAAGTGAAGTGGGCACAAGCAGAACAAACGGGAAAAGAGGATTACTGAAACAGTATTCACACAATGTTACACAAAGTATGCGAGGGCCGCTAATTTATATATATGGAATTACGCAAATGAGTCCGGCACGTGAGTATGATCAAAAAGTATCAAAAGTTAAAGACCCTTTCGTATTCACTCTTTGTGAGAGGTAAAGGCACTCGAAATCAATCCGATCAGTAGCATGCATCAATTAGAAAATACGCTCTCGCAAGGCTGCCAATGCCTCTCTCTTTTTTAAAAGTTGCTTACAAGCAAATTGATGGTGGATTTGACACTTTGGCATATACCGGTACCAATTTACCATCGAAACGCTGAGAGAGTTGCAGACAGATTGGATGCCCCAGTGACAGAGTCAAACACTCCGGAAAAAATTACGGCCTAGCTTCGATAAATTTTGAGTATCCTCAAGCGAGCTATTGCAGCAAACGTATAGTGAGTGACGTAATATCGTTTGTTAGGGTGCTCAAAACTCAGTGGAACTTGAAAAAAAAAATGTGATTCTAAAAAATGCACTTTTCGACAAGAAAGTTTCTAGTGACAACAACACTTTTTTTTTGAATTCAGGAATGAAAAAAGGAAGTCAATGTTTGGGCTCAAAATGCCACTTTTTTTCGTTCGACAAGTTTGAATTAGTTTAGAATGAAATAACTGATGCGAAAACTGAATGCCTGAATACTCAACAGAAGTAATACTAAAAGATTAAGAGAGTTTATGAGATAAATGAGGTGTAAAACGGAGGACAGAATCAAAGTGTGAGGGGCACTGAGATATAAGAAGGCTTATGAGGTAAAAAGAGGAGCAACAAGGGTGGGTTTGCTGTGAAATTTGGAATTTTGCGTTTCATCCTTAAACTCCATGAAAAAAAAAGTCCACCTTTCAATCACATTTTAGCAATGCCTCAAAAATTTCCCATATTAACATGCTTCTCGGCTGTACTGAGGTA